TTTTTTGGAGACTCCAGAAGAAAATCTGTTTCCTTTCCTTTCTAGTTTCTAAATGCTGCCCATCATCGTTGGGTTGTAGATCCCTCCCTCCATATTCATATTAGGAACAGTGAGTTCAGTCCTTCTCACATCACATCACTCTAACCTCTTCTTCTGCATCCCTCTTCCACTGCAGGGTTCTAGGAATTAAGATTTGGAAATCTTTAGGGGACCATTATTATGCCCATCACAGTATATCCTCTGGCTGCCAAAGATTCATGTCACTCATATGTTTACCTCATCTCAAGATTCTCAAAGTTCTGAACTCATTATAGCATAAATTCAAAATCCAAAATCTCATCTAAATCTCATGAGTTCAAAAGTCCCAAATCTCATCATCTAAATAATCTAAATTAGGTATGGGTAACATTATGGATATGATTTACCTGGGGACATTTTTTTTCTTCATCTGTGGATCTGTGAAACTAAAGAAGTAGGCAATGTTAAATTAATGTTACGAAGGAGACCTAGCAAGTTTAACTAACTTGCCTAGGACCACATCCGTGTTAAGTTAGAGACTATAATCTGTTTTCAACTCTGAAGTTCATGATAGTCTTAACCACTTCATTATCTAGTGGACACAAACTTCCTAACTTCCTCATCTTAAAATTGGGGAGTTTAGAAGATATTATTTCCTATGGAAATAAATAAATAAGATACAGGAGGAGGCTTTAAATATGTATATTCCTATGACCCATAAGTAGTTTAAGTCAAGAAAAGATCTGGAAAAGACCAAACTGAAGGGGCACTATTTTCGGGAGCTGCATTGGAGAATCCTATGATAATGATATTGTGGTAGGCTGAACAATGCCTCCTTCCCCGAACAAGATGCCCACATACTAATACTTGAAATACGTGAATATCTTCCTTAGTTTTTGAAGATAAGTTTGCAGAATACAGAATCTTTAGCTAAAAATCTTTTTCTTTCATTACTTTGAGAATGTCATCTTATTACCTTTTGGTTTCCATGGTTTCAGATGAGAAATCATGTGTTAATCTTATAGAAAATCCTTTGGCAGTCATTTCTCTCTTTCTGCTTTCAAGATTCTCTCATTGTTTCTGGCTTTTGTCCAGTTACTATGATTTGTGTGTACTAATCTCTTTGAGTTTGTTCCATTTGAAATTCATTGAATTTTTCAGATGTGTAAAATTTTCATCGAATTTGAGAAGTTTTCAGTTATTAATATCTTCAAATATTCCTTCTCTTTTTCCTTTCTCCTCTTCTTCTGTGACTCCTGTTATGTGTATTCTGGTAAGCATGATAATGTACCACAGATCTCTGAGACTTTGTTTATTTTTCTTCATTTTTTAAATGTTTCTTAGATTGGATGATCTTACTGACCCATATTCAAATTCACTGATTCCTTTTCCACCAGGACTAATCTGCTGTTGAACTCCTGTAGTTAATTTTTAAGGTATTATTATACTTTTCAATTCCAGAATTCTTTTTAAAATAATTTTTATCTATTGATAGCATTTGCCGAGACATCAGTCTCATATTTTCTTTTAGTTCTTTACACATGATTTCCTTTATTTCTTTAAACATAATTATAATAGTTAAAATCTTTGCCTAGTAAGTCCAATGTCTTCCTTAGGGACAGTTTATATTGTATGTTTTTTCTGCTTTCTGTATATGAGCCTTTTTTCCTGTTTATTTACATGTCTCATAATTTTTAAGTTGAAACCTGGATATTTTATATAGTATAATATGGCAACTCTAGAAATCAGAATTTCCCCTCCCAGGCTTTCTTTTGGTTGCCATTTACTATTGTTGTTGCTATTTCATTTCTTTCCTGGACTTCCCTGTTTTGTGTGGTCACTGAGTATTCCACTCAGCTAGCTTTGCAGTTAGCTCATAATTAGACAAAGATTTCCTTACATACTCTGAAGAAATAAGCCTTGTATTCTTTGTTGAGGCTCTATGTGTGTATTATAACATGCTCTCAATATTCTGAGTTTACAATTCTGCATTAGTCTTCCCTTCCTGCTTGCACAGGGCCTAAAGGTCAGCTAGAAGTGAGAGATTAGGGCCTTCTCAGATCATTCTTTCACATGTACACAGGCCTGCCCACGCATATAGCTTTCTTAGAGTTCCTCAGGAATGTTAGAGTTTTTCAAAGATTCTTGTGTAATCTCATTCATCAAATATTCTGTTTACATTTTTATTGGCCAGACTTTTATTTGCCTCAACTGGTATAGCCTCCTCATATAGCTTCCATGTTAAATAACCACTACTGATTGTTTTCAGCAAATGTCCTGGAGACGGGATTTTTCCTAATCAATAACCTTTGAGTAGGTAAAAATAATCATAACCCATGAAAATGGAGCTTTTCCAAGGAGCTGTGGGATAGATCAATAGTGCCAGTTGTCTGAGTATTGGGATTGGGAGGAGGGGGCACTAAAAGCAATTCTGCCCCTTCTAGTGGCTTCTAGAATTCTGCTTTACATGCTGTTGGGAGGCTGCTTGGTTTCAAATGTATAATTTAGCTATGACGAAGAGAATGGAAATAAAGAAGTTAAAATGTAAAATAGCTTGTTTTTACTGACATTTAGCTCTTTGGTTGAATAAGTGCTCTTTGGATTACTGTAAGCCTTCAGTTAATTTCCAGATTTATGGAAGTTTATTTGTCAATTTTTGCCACTGTGCTCACTGTTTTTTAAGGATGAGCTCATTGTTTTTTGGAGGTCTCTGCTCTGCCATTCTGGAAGTCCTGCCTCCTCTTTGTAGTTTTTGTAAGTTACCTTTGGACTGCCTTTGGTAATTGGTGCAGCTTAGTGCTGCCATTTTCCTTCCTGTCTCTTACTGCCTCCAACGAGGTTTAATAACAAATAAATATGCAGAAAAGAATGCTTTTGAAAATGTTACAGGTAATAACTAGTAGAATTAAAATCATATTCATGGTAAAATCCTTTCAATTATTCCTCATTGCCCTAAGGATAAAAGCCTTTTTATTATCTTTACAACTATCTCTCAGGCTGCCTATGTGCTATGGCTTCTGACTACCCCTCCAGCTTCATCTGGCATTCCTTCTTTTCTGGGCCCTGGTTTACCTCAATGACTTTCTAGTTTCTGCATCTCAGAACTTTTGTCTAGATTATTACCTATGCCTATACCCCAACCCCAGATCAAGCAAATTCCCCTGTCCCCACTAATTTAGCATAATGTAATTTCCATTCATGACATTTATGGCAATTATCAGAGACTGAATTCACCTTTGGGAGTATTTGATTCACGTCTGTCTTTCTTATGAAATTCAAACACAATGACGGCAGGTAAAGCGTCACTGCACTTACTGCAGTACTAACACCCATATTAACTACTGTTTCTGTACCATTGTTTTTCTTAATTACAAGAATGATTTAATTTTATAGTTAATCAAAATACCCAAAGGAGGAACATAAACTTTCCATATATAACTACATTCTTTCTTTCTTTTTTTTTAAACATCTATAGCTGTAAATGCTTAGGGTGGTAGGGAACACTGAAAATAAATTTACCAAAGAGTTATTTTAGCCACTCAGTACTTATCATTGTTGGGTGGTGGAATTATTGTTGATTGTATTCTTAATGTATTTCTGCATTTTCCAAATTATCTACCATAAATAATTATTTTCTGATTCTAAAATGCTATAGATGACAAAAACTGGCAATAAACATTAAACTATTTAAAAGATTTAGCTTACTAACAATTCTGATAATGTTGCAGTGATGCTAGGATACACAAAACAATAGATCTGGCCACAACTCAAACATTTTAGAGCTCTAAAAAGTTTCTACTTGTGTATGATTATATTCTATGATCTTTTATTCACTTTCATTGATGGTGAAATTGCCAGTTGGTAACACCTTTTGGAAAGCAATTGGCAACATAGACCTTTAAAAATTTTAAATTATTTAAAATGATTTCTGACCTTTATCCCAGTACTGTCACTTTCCAAAAATGATCCCAAAGGAAGAATTTAAAATGATATACTATAAGTTGAAATAATATACTATAAGTTGATCATTGAAGCTTATATATAATAGAGAAAGTTGGGGAGATAAGAAAGGTTAAATTACAGGTTATTTATCCAACAGAATACCCCATAATTCTTAACAGTGATTATGAAACAAAACAAAAATATTCACTTTAGGTTAAATGAAAGGGAATGCAACAATGTATGTATCTATGTTGGGATTACCATATAAAAATGTAATACTTCTAGGTAGAAGAAGAGAAAGGGAGTATGGAAAATGGAGAAGTCTGTTCCTAGGGGTAGAAGGATTGTGAGCAGATCTTTCATTTACAAACTTGTGATCACTGGAAACATTGTATAGCTTTTTACTTTCACTTACAAACTACCGATTTTAATATTTTAAGATCGTTCAGTATGTTATCAAAAAGCGTTTGCTTTTATTACAAATGCCCCAAGTTTGGGAAATACGCAAGTTAAAGCTAGTACTGTTTGCATGCACCTGTAAGTGTATCACTGTACTTTTTATAACGCACTTGAGATTTTACTAGATGTTCCAGGATTGGACAATTAACCATTGACAAATTGGTTAAGTGGAAGCTAATAAGAAACATTATGGAGTACACCAAAGTCTTTCAGCAATTGTGACCATTTGTAGCACTGTGTTTGATCCACAATTTTCTTTGCCACTCTGATTTTTATGTGCTTTACATTTGGAAAGTAATTTGACTGCAATTGTTTGTTTACTCATACCGCTCAGGATGCCTACATTTCTTCCATGCTCCAGAGATCAGGACACTGGAGGCAAACACACGCACAAGAGATTTCTCCACCATTCCTTTCCTCACTTAGTAAGCTCTCATATTCTATGCACAGCATTTGGAAATACTGTACGATTCTCCACTTTTTCTCAAGCAGCTAGCGGGTAACAGATACCGACCAAGCCGTGTAATCACAGCCTCTAAATAAGTACGAAAGATGCTGGGCCGCGGGGGACAACAGAGCAGGGCGGCCGCTTTGGTGAGGAGATACCCACAGCCAATAAAGAGTGACAAAGTCTGGAGACAGCATGTCAGTCCCACCTCCATTTGCAGCTCTTTAACTTTCTCCTTCCCAAAAGTCCAGGCTCCATCTCCGAGCCCCTACTGCCACTCCCAGGAGTCCGACCTATTGCGGCTCCGCTAGGGCCCGGCCTCCCGCCGCTTCCTGCGCCTCTTCCCATCTCCTCTGCGCCTGCGCGACCGGAAAATTCGCGAAGGTTCTTGAAACGGAACAAGTCATTTCCGGAAGCCGGCAGCCGCTTCAGCCATCAGACCGTGCTTGAGACAGGAGAGTGGTGAACGCATCGTTTTGCGTTTCCCGGTGTCTGGGCCTTGCCTGTCTGCAACGGTGGGAAAAGAAAATGGCCTTGCTGTGCTACAACCGGGGCTGCGGGCAGCGCTTCGATCCCGAGACCAATTCCGATGGTAAGAGAACAGCGCTGCCAGCCCGCCCTCCCCTCGCCACCTCGTCTACCCGCAGGAGGCCTTTTGGGCCCGAGGGCTGCCGGGGCCCCTCCGGCGAGCCGGCTTCGTGACGCTCCGGTCAGAGGTCCTCCGGGCCCTCCCTTGGCCGCTTCCGTTGTGCGCCGCGGCCCCTTGGCGAGCGCCCGGGAGCGGCGTCTGACCACCGTCGGCGCTCCCGCGGAAAGAGGCTTTCCCCTGGACCCACGTGTTTCCTGGGTCGCCCCCGCACTCTCTTTAATTCGGTCTGGAATATAGAGCAAACACTCTTATCCCCGGTCCCCCTGGTCTTTTGGGGGGAAGCAAAAGTTAAGACACTACTGAGCTCGCTTTGCAGTGCTTCAGATAGTATTGGCTGTGATTGCGTGTGTGTGTGTGTGTGTGTGTGTGTGAGAGAGAGAGAGATAGGAGGAGGGATGGGCGGGCAGCGGGTTATCCTAGCATTTAAGTTCTGCCTCTTTTTAGTATAGAAGCTTGTCGCTTGTTCAGTCGACCCACTATTAAAAACTACTTACTTTTTAAAGTGTTCTTAGTTAGGCAAATTACTCTGTCTTTATGCTCAGTTTTGGTATGTTTGCCCCCGGGGGTACATTTCGTTGTCCTTTGCTTAGTAGCAGCATTTGTTGCTTATTTTTGAAATGGCCTCCACATTTTTATACCTTGCTATCTTCAGTATAAAATGAGCGAATGTCCTTTACAACACTTAGGTAGAGTTAAGGATGTGAAGTTAAAGTGGCTGCGCTAGGTGAACGATGGGAAATGACCAGTGAGTTTGAATTTTGATTGGTGAATGAGATAAAGAAGTGAGTTGATTCCTTCGATTTTGTGGGAAGTGACAACACTTTCTCAAATTCAACTAGCATTTATTGTATGTTTTCTATATGCCAGACATTGGCACTAAATTAGCATTGCCAGCCAGTATATCCTATGTGCCAGACTTTGTCATCTTATTTAATCTTCACAGCAGCCCTGGAAAGTATGCAGTATTCGAGCCATTTAATAGAGAAGCCAAGTTCAATGTGGTAGTAACATGGTTCAGTATTGTGGAGGAGATTAGAACCAGTGCGTTTTAAAAGCTTTTTCGTCTCTGAAATGTTTGAAATACTTACCTTGGCACACAGATAAATTAGTGATGTCATTTAAAATAAGACTATTGATTTACAGGGTTTTAAGGAAGAGAAAAATCCAGTCTGTACAATATTCAAGTTAGTGTTATTGACATTTTTATGATGTAAATAAGATGTTACTCAAGGAGAAAATTGTGAGATTTCAGTAGATAGCAGATTTGAGAAATGAGGGATTTTAAAACAGTTTGGTGCCTTGGTGTCTGTAGATATTTTCTAGTTTAATATCAAATACGGAGGAAAGGCTGATGCTGTGTTGTATGGGACAGTATGTTTATTTGGGGGTAGTTAGTACTTTCTAAAGTTCAAGGGAGATACAGCCGTTTGCTGGAAGTTGGTATGTCCATACGTGAAGTGGTGCGGTGCCTGGGAAAGAGAGAGAAGGGAAGGCCAGGACATCCAAAAGAATAGACAGTCTTAAGGATTGGGTGGTCAACAGTACTACATACAGCAGGGAAACTCCATTAAGATTGATGAAAGTTTATTCACATCGCAAAGTGAGGGTTGTTTTAGAGACTTAGTATAAATAGTATAAATAACCGAAGTAAATTGGTTGAGTGAATGAATGGAAAGTGAAGAAAATGGAGATAGAAGACAAAAACTAATAGCAAACTGTGGACTTGGTTAGGAAAAGTTTTATAGAATGGAAGAGGTTTGAGCTTGTAGTTTGACTAAAGTAAATTAATGGGGTGAAAGTTGAAGATGCAAGCAAGTTCCATCATGCATGTAGTCAGATGCTGGATCCATTATCCTTAAAAATCTGTTTATCTACACTAAATACTTTGTAAATTGGTGCTGTGACATAATTACCATGTTTATTGACTTAGTCTCTTGATTTTTTCCCTATAGACAAAAATTATACTCCCTTCTAAGCTGATAGGACATTTTACCTTGTTCTGTCATTTTAGCAAGTTAAGTAGATGTTTAAAGTAGACACGGTTGGTAACTTGCATATGTTAAACACTTATTCTAGAAAAAAATCACAACTTCACAAGCAGTTATTTAATTTACACATACGAGGAAAACTGAAGCAACTGCTAGTGGAAGAGGGAGATTTTAGCCAAGGTCAGACTCAATGAATGTTAGAAGCCCTTGATATTTGACTGTGTTGTAGCTTTCTTATTCGTAAAAATAATAATTTAAGCAAAACTGGTAAACATGATAAAAGCTAATAAAGAATGGTTAATTGCTTTTGGAAGTAGTGTTTTTCAAATGTTGTTCATACTAGTTGTTTGGTTAAGATCTGATTCATTACTACTGCCGTTCTGTCCTAGTTGACTAGTGTTCTGACATTTTGTGCTTCTGACTGTTATACATTGTGCATTTTATGCCTTGAACTACATTCAAGTTGTTATTCAGAAATACTGTATCCTTTACTTCCATTCCTCTCTCCACTTCCTTTCCCTCTGTATGCACATTTCTACTTCCAACTTCTTTTTCAGCCCTTAATGCCATTATTCGCCTTAATTAATAGTATCTTTCTGATCCATGGGTTTACTCACTGTATGAGGAAAATATCTAATACTTTCTTACTATATTAGCTAGAATAATGCAACACATGGTTACTAAGGAAGCAATACTGGCCATTAATATGGCATAGGGAGATTTCTCTGAGTACCAAGAATTAATCATTTTAAGGCAACATGACAAATCTAATCAGGTTGTAGAGAACTGAAAGATGAACAAACTCGAAAGGTTGAGTGAGGTAGCCTTGTAAGAAAATTGCAGAGGAACTGACCTCTTTTCTCTAAGCTCAGGATACTATATAGCCGGGGAATAAGTGTGTGTATTATGTGATTTTTTTTTTTTTTTGGTAATATAATACGCCCTATTGCAAATTGTAATAAACCCATTTTCATGAGGATTAAATAGTAAAGATTGATGGTGTAGTGGCAGGAAAGTACAGAATAACAACCAGTGACAATCCTGAAAACAGACTGTAAAACTTCTTTTTAATGAGCTTTGTACCTAGGGATTGACAACTGTCTAGAAAAGTGAAAACAGCAATAAGATATTACCACAGTTTTTAAGATTTTGATCCTGTTCTTCCAAAATATCTTTTTAGGGAATCTCTTGAGAAACCTTTGTGTATCAGTACACTTAAGAACATTTAATTTTATAGTATTTTTGTAAAAAAATTGAAAGATGACAGTCAAAATCTTGGGAGTTCAAGTTTTGGTACTAAACAAATTTTACTACAGAGATTAGAGGAATATATAATTTGTTATACTTAAACTGTTCTGTATTATTTTTATCTATAGCTATTGTACTCTTGAATTAGAGTTTTAACTGTTAACTACTTTAATATGATGCACTTTGTTATGCATCAAACTCAAGCATTAGTAAATTTTTAAGGAACAATATTACCTGCATTTGGGAAAAGGAGTAAAGGTTAATACCTGAAATAATGATGTATACACTTTACTGAATTATAAAGAATGGCACTTTTTTTCTTCCCTATTTTTCACCAGATGCTTGCACGTACCACCCAGGTGTTCCAGTCTTTCATGATGCATTAAAGGTAGGAACTAGATATATTTTCAGTTTTTTCATATCTGTATAGTAAAATGAGAGATGTAATACTAAATCTTTATTAGTCTTATCTTTTTTCACCCCAGCTTGTGACTTTCTTCTTTCTTACTGACATTGTGAGGTGCTTTAAGCAGGTACTCCACTAAAGAAAAAGAAGATAGTAGATGGTGATCTTAAAGACTTTTCCAGTTATAAATCATATTATTTCCATTTCAATTCTCATTTTCTATACCCCCTTTCTTCTATTTTGTGGGGAAATGGAAGTAGTTGTATTGAATCTCAGTCTTTCACTGGTGGCTAATAAAAACAGCTCTGAATTTAAGGAAAGATTGTTACAAACACTTAATCATGCTAATTTCAAGGCAGACATGTAAGTTTAAAGTATTTTTACTGAAAAGAAATGTTGACAGTTTTCTAACTGTACTTCTTTGATCTGTAGAATTAGAGAAATAATAGAATGTCCAGATTTTTGATGGTGATCTTTTTAGTTATTTTATTTTTTTAGAGATAGGGTCTTGCTCTGTTGTCCAGGGTGGAGTACAGTGGACCAATCATATCTCACTGTAACCTCAAATTCCTTGGCTTAAACAATCCTCCTGTCTCAGCCTTCTGAGTAGCTGGGACTACAAGCGCACTCCATTACACTCCACTAATTTTTTTTTGTTTTTATTTTTTTTAAGAGACTACATCTCCTGTGTTGCCCAGGGTGGTCTCAAACTCCTGAGCTCAAGCAGTCCTCTCACTTCAGCCTCTCAGAGTGCTGGGATTGCAAGTGTGAACCCACCATGCATGGCCTGACCTTTTTTATATTCATGATATTATAATACGGTACATTTAGAGAGTTAACTTTGTATATCTCAAAAGGAAAATGCTGCAGTGGGGCAGCCATGGTTTTAGGTACTGCTACCTTTGTTCTCAGGAACATAGACAGTCTTATATGTTTAAATATTGTTGATGCCCTTTGAATGTCTTAATTATCCTTCCAGAAAGTAGTTGGACTCCTTTGGTCCTTAAGTGTCATACAACCAAATCTAGCCACAGATGTACATTAGATAAAAAGTTTATGTTATTCTGATTAGTTCTCAGTGAGGAAAACAGAATAAACATTCAACAGGGAAAGTTGAGACCTTATTCCTCCCAATATCTTTTTTTTTAGCCTCTTTACAAACCTTTATGGGGGTAGAAACTGTGGTTCTGTGGGAAGATTTATTTTTCTTGTTTGGGAATTTTATCTTTCCTAGACTGCCATTTATTACGACTATTTTTCTTAGTCTACCTTTTTCTTTTTCTTTTTTCCTCTATGCTATTTTTCTCCTATCTCCTAACCATGGTCTTTGGCTTCCTATTTTCTCTCATTCAGTTCATTCATTTGTGTCCTCAAATGTTGCCTCTATTTTAGTGGCTCTTACAACATATTTCCATTCATGTGTCTCATTGGCAACCTCAAACCAGTTTTTAAGGTGAACGCTTACTCTAAAAATAGTCTGCTTCTCAAAACTTTACTGTTCCTGGTGATGATGCTACTGACTACTACCTAGTCATTCTGTCCATTACTCTTTTTTTTTTTTTTGTCCTTACCCCGCTGTTAATTACTCTAAATCTTAATGATTTCACTTTGAAGTATTTTTGTTTCTCTTCTGCAGTTCTAATGTTTATTATTGTCTCTATTCTATAAACATTTCTTGAAGTCCTAGACTTTCCAAGACTGTTGAGTTTCACAGCCCAGTAGATTTCAGACAAAATGTGTACATCAATACAGGGCCACTACTTTTGTATTTGACCAAATAAGTCAAACATTGCATTAACAAAGGAAAGACCATTTTAATATTAGAAGGGGCATAGTCAGAGAAAAGGACAGTCCTGCTCAAGAAAAGACAGAAAGCAACCTCATACTCACATGGTTATGTTTATCGTTCCTTTTCTCATTTTATGGAGGACTAACGTAGAATTGAGATTGGGATCTGGGAGCAGGTGGCCTCTATCATGGTTTAGATGTATGTATCCCAGTATCTGGTATAATTCTGTGTATATGATTAAGACGTTCTCTTATAGAGTAACTTTTCTGGTAACAATATTATCAATACTATTTAAATCCTATATTTAAGGTTGTGGCAATTGATTCATCTATATCTCAATGCAGAATAAAAGAATTAAATTTTGAAATAAAGGAAAATTTAAATTATTGGATATTTAAGGTTTCCTTTAAAGAAAAAGAACCTGACAGTGCATATTGTGAAAAAATCGCTACCAAATTCCTTATGGAGTATATTGAGAAACAGTAAAGTCCAGAGGGATGTGTGCAAAGTTGGTCCTTAACTTGAATTTGGGACTTCCCAAGTCTTTAGACTGCTAAATTTTTGTTTAATATTCTCTACTGTATATTGATTAGAATTAGAGATGATAATTTAAAGCCATTTTTGGTAAGCTACTTGTATTTTGTTTAGAAATCATAAACAGTGGTACAATTTCTATACTTCATGCTTCTCACTATAAAGATCACCTTCACAGATTTGACAGTGCTTAGGCAGCTGTGTTAATTGATCTGTTATTCTGAAAATAGAGAGCTTGTTGTTGAACTATACTGGGTTTTGTTTAGAAACTAAATTATTATAGTTATTATCCTTAGGAGATTTTTAAAATAAAGCACTTTCACTTAAACAGAAGCAGTTTAAAGTGCTTCCTCTTGATGGTATGTCACAACACAAATCACCTTAACATTGGTTAGTTGTTTTTAGAAATCAATTTACTTGATCAGGTGAATCATATACAACACTAAAACTGAAAAATATATATATGCAAGTTACTTAGGACTCAAGGAAATAAATAGTAATACAAGTAGTGTTTTAGTAAAGGGTTGTGGTTCTCATGCAAATACAGTTTTCAGTTTTTTTCTTTTATCTTTCATAGGGTTGGTCTTGCTGTAAGAGAAGAACAACTGATTTTAGTGATTTCTTAAGCATTGTAGTAAGTACTAATTTTTTTTCTAGATTATGCCCCTAAAAGTACATATAAGAAGCTTCAGATTTGAGGAGTCAGATTTCTGATATCCCTTGACTGGTCCTTGTCAACTTGCAGGTAGCACCTTACTTTTAAAATGGAGTTTATCTTTCTTTTTCCACTGTCTCTAAAATAAAGAATTTATCTATCTGTTTTAGAGGTTGACATTGTAAGATATTAATTACCCATTTATCATTTTAGGTGTATTTTATTTTATTTTTTTTAAGAATCTTAAGGACAAAGGTTTATTCTTGATGTTAGTATTGAAAGAATATCAATAAGAAGGGACTGGTAGGCAACAGTTGAAGGCATTTTCAATTAGGAACAATAAATTTTTGCCAAATCTAAGATAGCATGATTTTTTGTACCACGAAGAAACAAAACTAAAGCTACTAATAAACTGACATGCCATTGATTGTACGATTTGAGGTTAGGTGTTGAAATGTATGTATAACTCAGTGGAATGTGGTATAAAAATAGCTAACATTTAAACGTTTAGCCCTGCCAGATGTGCCAAGTATTCTATTTTATTTAATCCTCTCAAAAAATATTTTAAACGCCATTTACCTCTATTTTACAGGTAAGGAAATTGAGGTTTAAAAAGATTAACTATCTTGCTCAAGGTCATATAGCTAGTTAAGTAGGAGAACTGGGGCTCAAATTGAGGCTTTTATGAGTAACAGACTTTTGTATGTAAATAATTTTTAGAATTCTCTTTGTAAGTTTCTCCAGAATTCATTTTCTATATACAAGTTTATGCTATATTTTTAATAGAATTAGTAGATATTTGTGAAGTATAATTCAAAAGCTTTTAAGGGAAAAAGCTAATCAGAATTAAGAATTCACTTAAAAATATAGCACATTTGTAGTCCTATTTTTTTAGTTTCTTAAAATATAAAACTGGAGAAAAATGTAAAATAAAACGTGTCAGTAAAGAAATGAAAATACAGTATTTCTATCATGGCATATAAAATAACTCTTAATGAATACCTTTTACTAACAGGGCTGTACAAAAGGTAGACATAACAGTGAGAAGCCACCTGAGGCAGTCAAACCTGAAGTCAAGACTTCTGAGAAGAAAGAACTATCTGAATTGAAACCTAAATTTCAGGAGCACATCATTCAAGCCCCCAAACCAGTAGAAGCAATAAAAAGGCCGAGGTATAATTTATATAGTTGCGTATTTCAATACACTTGAATAATAGCATTTGTTCATGGTATTTTCTTTTATGATTTAGCGTAATACCATTTATAGCTACTGTAAGCCACCAAATTTTGAACCGTTTAGTTCTTCCCTTAAATATGCCTTTAACTTTATTCCCCATCAACGTGAGAAACATATACATAGTAAAACTTCATTGCACATGTGCTTATTATATTATCGTAATTATAGGTACATGTACCTTCAAGGTAGGGGAGTCAAATATCTGTCTCGTCTGTTGGCATGTATTTTTTTTTCACTGTGGCACAGTGAAATTCTTTGTAGGAGTTGTCCTTGTCATGGAATCAGTTTGAATTGAAAAAGAGCACAGAGACCTGATCACTTCTCTTACTTTCAGATAAAGTAAAGATGGAGAAACTGCTGTTAATCTCATTAATACTGGTGAATTTTTGATATATTTGATTTTGATGACTTATAAAGTAGTCTTAAATAGCTTTTGCTCCTTTTGCAGTAAAATGTTAGAGATTCTTCATCCTCACTTCTTGATAACCAGACTTTCTTTGTGTTCCCACACATGTATATTGGGTACTTCTGTTAAACCAGCTCTTCTTCATAACTGGCTTTGAGTACTGAAGTATCTTAGAACCAAACTATAGATCTTAAAAATCATTTGGGACTTTAAGAATGACCCTTGTCAAAATTTTTATTCTTGCTATGAACTAACAGTATTCCCAACTTTTGCTCTTTGTTCCTACTGAAATAAATTTATACAGTATTGGATGATAAAGGACCAAGATAAGAACGTTCAGAGACTTTAGATGTTTATTTGTTCATTAACACTCTGGATACAGATCATTGTTAAAGGAACTATTCAGAATGATTTTATTCCATCTCCACATTTTTCGTAATTATGATACTATTAAATGCCTTGCTGACTGATTAGGCAGTTAAATAAATTATTAGAAAAATACAAAAGCCTTTCATGGCTCACTCTTAATCTCTTTGGTAATAAAGTAGAATCTTCTATAATGGTATGAATTAATATTTTCTTTAAATGATGGACTAATAATTTTATTTAAGAGACACACAAATTAAGTACTTTATCCTCAGTTCATTTGGTGGTACTATGGAGTATGAGGGTATTGGTTTTTCTGTACTTTTTAAATGCCTCCTATGTCCATTTTTTCATTGTTAATGTAGAGCGAATAACCTAGGACTTCTATTTTCATTGCTGCATTTATTAAATTCTTAATGTTTATTGAATAGGCTTAAACAAATTATATATATGAAACTTAACTATTATAAAATGTTAGAGGGTTTTTTTTAAACCCTCTAAAACTGCCTTGCGATACTATTGTATCTCAATTTACAGATCCATATACCAGTGTCCACATAAAGTAAATTATCTCCACTGGTAGAAGTGAGTATGGATACACTTAGTACTTATTTGTTGCCTGTTTAGTATGTGCTAAGCATTTTGTTGGGCATGGAATGTAAGAAGTACTTTGTGGTTCTTTCCTCAGTTACTTGTTTTGACAAACTTAGATTTCTAGTCTTAATTCCCTTTCCATTGGTGCAAGTGATAATTAAATGTGCTGCCAATAGTGATTTTTTGAGACTTACTATTTTAATATAAGAAGCTTTTCTGCTTTTCCTTAGAAAGCAGATATATTATAATAATTATTCATAAAATACTCTTTAATGGGAATCACTTGATTCATGAAACATTTGGCTTCTCAAAACAAAGCTTTTAAGGTTATTAATTTGAAGTACAAAGAAATATTTTAGTACATATTAATGTGGTAATAAAGTTTCAAAATTCTCTAGCCCAGATGAACCAATGACAAATTTGGAATTAAAAATATCTGCCTCCCTAAAACAAGCACTTGATAAACTTAAACTGTCATCAGGGAATGAAGAAGATAAGAAAGGTAAGATTTTATTTTGTTTTATTATAATTATTTTCTGTACAATTAAGCAGTCGTCAAAAGAGACAGCAGGAGTTTACTGAATATAAATATGAAAGAGCACATTGTGGTAAAAAACCAATAATACTACAGAATAAATATATGGTTAATTTTCATTATGTCTCTATAAAAAATGAGAACGTATTTAAAATTGTTTTTCTTTTATGGTTTATTGTTTTTTAACAGTAAGTTAAATTTCTTTGATAATTGAAAATATTTTCTTGTGTGTGATATAGAATATATTCAATATTCTCTGACCTGTACCTGATACCATGGGAGGAAAACATCCTTTCATGATTTCTCTTTTACAAAATTAAGATACAGCATTTTATTATAGAATAGAAGTACATCATATACCATTCTGGGGATACAGGCAAAAGCTCATCACAGTAGTTGGTTTTTTAAAAGTATTGTTTTATGAAAAGATTAGTTTTTAAGAATGGTGCTGCAGTGAAAAGTTTTTATTTTAACTTTTTAATTTGATTTTTTTTTTCTTTGTTTCAGAAGAAGATAATGATGAAATTAAGATTGGGACTTCATGTAAAAATGGAGGGTGTTCAAAGGTATATATTACAAAATTTGTGATGTGTCATGAAGTAAAATTTTAATTGTGAAGAAAAAGTGCAGTTCACTGACTCAGTTCAGCGAACATTTGCATGCCTGTTATATGTTAGACATTATAGCTGTGGACCAGGGCTATGAACATGGATAAAAGCCTCTGTCTGAGGAGCATCATATCTGATAGAATCATGGGAATAAATAATTTCAATTTAGTTAGCATTTACTGAGCACTCACTGTGTACTAGACATTGTTTTAGGGTTAGATATATAGTATTAAATAAGGGAAAAATCTGTGTTCCTGCAGAGCTGATACTCTAGTATGGGAATGACAGTATATAGGTAATTAAATATGATGAATTCAGGTAGATATGAAGAAAAGCAGACTAAGGAGCTAGAGTGGTTGCATTTAGGAGCTAAGTATTTATGTAAGATTGTCAGTGAAGTATTCTTTGATGTGATGACACTGGATAATATAACAGCTGTGTTATGTGAACCTGGAGGGGGAAATGTGCTGTAGATAGTGGGAGCAGCAAGAGTAGAGAGAGGCTTTAGGATTTGGCTATTAAAGAAATAACAAGGTCTGTGGAGTTTGGGCAAGGGTGTGAAAGTATCAGGTAAGAGATGTAGGCAAGATTATGGAGGTTCTTAGAAGCCACGGTGAGAGATTTGAGCTTTATTCTAAGTATGATGGGAAGCCATTACCTGTTTGAGGGAGGGATTTTAAAAAGATTATACAACTGGTGGTAGAGCAGGAGTGGAATTGGGAGAAGAAAAACCAGCTTGGATGCTATTAAGGAAGACCAGGCAGTGGGATTGGAGAGTAGAAGTTTGTTAGGAAGTGATTAAATGTGGGATGTAATCAAACATCTCAGTGAGGCCTTTTCCTACCTATTCTTGCCTACTCTATGTAAAATTCATACTCTTCAACATTTTCTCCTCTTCTCCTTTTTTTTTCTTTATAGCTCTTTTTACCTTATATTCATTTGTCATATTTATTTTGCTTATAATCTACCTTTCCCCCACTCCCCACTAGTATAAGGTTTATGAGGATAGGGGGGTTTTTTTATTTGTTTTGTTCTTTGTTGTGTTTTGAATGCTTAGAAGAGTGCATATAAAATGAATGATGTAATTTGGAAGTACAGATGGCTCCCAACTTATCATGGTTCAACTTACGATTTTTCAACTTAAAGATGAGTTTATTGGGATGTAACCCCATCATAAACAAAAGAGCATCTGTATTAGGATTTGTTAGTGAACTGGCTATGAAGGAAACTTGTGGTTCCAGCATCTGAGTGATTGGTGACAGCATTAACTGAGAAGGTGAAAATGGAGTGAGAGCAGGTCTCTGTATTTTTCCCATGTGTTAAGTTTGAGATCACCTTGCTCATTAAGCAATGGAAATATAAATGTATTCACATATATATGAGGTAGAAGTAGTAGATACAAGGGGATGAGTAATTGTTGGAGTGAGGAAAGCAGTATAAATGGCAGGGTAATGGAAGAAGGTCAAGGAGAAGGCATCAGATGAGTTTTGAAAAATGAATGACTGTTTTGTAAATGGAAAAACAGGGAAAGGATATTTCAAGCCTAGGTGATAGCAGTAGTATAAAGAAAACAGTAGTCAATAGTAATAGTACAAAATTTGATGCTGTGAAGTTGAAATTAATAGAATTAAGTAGGGCCCAAATCCTAGAAGACTTTACTGGTGCTGAGAAGTTAGACCTTATCTTAACTTATGGAGGCCATTAAAGAAATTGTTAATCTTTTTCATTGAAGTATGACATTGAAATTTGTTAAAAGGTGTAAAAATACAAGTTTATAGCCAAGAGATTTTCACAAAGTAATTACAACAACATTACAGTGCACTCATTTTCCTTTTGTCATTCATTATTCCCTTCCCCAAAGGTAACCCACATTTTTTTTTTTCTTTTTTTTTTTTTTGAGACAGTCTCACTCTGTTGCCCTGGCTAGAGTACTGTGGCCTCAGCCTAGCTCACAGCAACCTTAAACTCCTGGGCTTAAGCAATCCTCCTGCCTCAGCCTCCCAAGTAGCTGGGACAACAGGCATACACCACCACGCTCGGCTAATTTTTCTATTTTTTGTAGAGACAGTGTCTCGCTCTTGTTCAGGCCGGTCTCGAACTCCTGACCTCGAGGGATCCTCCTGCCTCAGCCTCCCAGAGTGCTAGGATTATAGGCATGAGCCACCGCGCCCAGCCCACATTTTTCTATCAACATAAATTTGTTTTACCCATTTTTGAATTTAATGTAAAAAGAATTATAGGATATGTATTCTTTCTTATATTTGTCTTCTTGTGCTTAATGATGTGTTTGTTATAGTTAACCCTTGTTGTGCATGTAGTCGTAGTTTTCTTCTCTTTCATTGCTTTAAGGTATGCCATTGTTTGAATGTGCCACAATTTATTTTTTCTTTCTTTTGTCCTTTAAAAAATTTTCTTTGAATAATGCTACTATGAACATTGTGCATGACTTTTGGGACACATAAACAAAGTTGAATGTCCCTTATCTGAAACGCTTGGGACCAGAAGTATTGATGTTTCAGATTTTTTTGGATTTTGTAATATTTGGTTATTATACTTGTTAAGCATCGCTAATCCAGAAATCCAAAATGATCCAGTGAGCATTTCCTTTGAGCATCATGTCACTGCTCAGAAAGTTTCATATTTTGGAGCATTTTGGATTTCAGGATTTTTGGATAAGGAATGGTTAATCTCTGTATGTTTAGCTTTAACAAATAATTCCACGTAGTTTTCTGAAGTGATTGTATTAATTTACACTCCTGCCAACAGTATATGAGGCTAGTTCCACTTGTCCCATGTGGCAGCAACACTTTGTTGTATCAGTCTTTTTTATTTTCAGTCATTCCGGTGTGTGTAGTGTTCTCATTGTGGTTTTGATCCCTGATGATGAGGTTGAGTACCTTTATATTTATTAAACATTTGTGTATCTTCTTTTGTAAAATGTCCAAAATCTTATACCTATTTTTCTAATATCTTATTGATTTGTAGGAATTCTTTGTATATTTTAGCTTCAAGTCCTTTGTCAGATATTAATAATGCCTTTTCACTGTCTTAATGGCTTTGATAAATAGAGGCTGTTTAATTTTAATGAAATCCAATTTGTCCTCTTTTCCTTTATAACTACTGCTGTGTCCTATTTAAGAAATCTTTGTTTACTTTTAGAGCCATGAGGATTTTCTCACATAGATGGACATTTAAACCAAATAAATAAATAAATAGAGAGAAAAAGAGGGGGGAAAAGGACATTTAAATACACAAACCATCTGGAGTGGATTATTTTGTAAAGTGTGGAGAGTAAACATAATTATGGAACTTCGAAAAAGAGGATGATAGTAATTAGATAATATCATTAATAGTAGAGAACAGAAATTGAAGGCTGAGAAATGAATTAGTAGAAACGTGTGTTAGTATAGTGTGATTGCCTAAAATTTATTAGTTCATGAGGAAGGATAGCAGATTAAACTGATAGGTATTTTTAAGTCTGGTTGACAGGATTTCATGATAGACTACATACTGGTGAAGTGAAAGGAGAAACTGATGAAGACAACTTACGGAATTTTGTTTTGGGAGACTGACTGGGTATGATGCCACCAAATACAATGGGATAAAGACTAGGTTTGGGGGGTAATAGTGATAACTTTAGAATCTAATATACTGAGTTTTATGTGCTCATGTCTCTTGCCTACGTCTCTTACCTGATACTTTAACACTCTGGCCCAAACTCCACAGACCTTGTTATTTCTTTAGGAGATATATATATATATATATATATCTAGTACTATGCTTTGGATTTACAAAAAATAAACAATTTTATTTTCTGTACTTATAGGTAGTTGCTATAAATACAAAAATAGAAGGAAAATATACTGTTGGCTACATCCATGTTTTATTGACATAACTTTTGTAAATTCATCTGTAGAGCCTTCACCTACTACAGCGGTGGGGCCTGGAATCTTCCAGACAAACCCTGGATATATATATAGGTCTGCAGCTCATTTTACCCTTTATAGGGATAAGAAATCACCATCACTCTGGAACTTCCGGAATTGCCTATTCATTTTCCCATATTAATTGATAGTGCCCACATGGTATATACTGTACACATAAATCATACTGTAACTGTATTTCTGTTTAGAGTACTAATCCCTTGGTTTCAACATTGTTCTGTAAATTTAAATACCTGAATAATGATCGGATGGGACCTCATACTCAAAAGGGTGAAAGCATCTTAATGCCTACTTTTCCATTATTTGACTTTCTCACAGGGACTTAAAACTTAACCAGGTCCCAAAAGGGAGTCATTTTTCATGTCTTAACACAACGTCCTGGGATGAATTTATGAAGGTTCTAGGTTACTGTTGTTATTTCTTGAGTTATTTTCATAGTGGTCACCAGTACTTAGAAAATGTACAAGATGTAACTGTGAGATATGCAGCTAATTTTTTTTTCCCCCTTTTTTCTCTTTTAGACATATCAGGGTGTACACAGTCTAGAAGAAGTCTGTGTATATCATTCTGGAGTACCTATTTTCCATGAGGGGTAACTTATGCATGACTTATTAAAATACCTTGTGGTAGAGTTTAGGGAAGTTAAATATCTTTAAAAATTATTTGCCGTGCAGTGTTATAATGCAGTTTGCTTACATTACCATTTAATCTTTACAGTAACCTAGAAATGTAGGCTTTGTCTTTTTTTATACGTAAGTAAACAAACAACGTTACAGTTATTAAGTGGTTATTATGCTTCAAACCTCATGTTTCTATTTATACCCTGTATTTCAGTGCGATGCTGTTTTTATTTGGGCTAAATTAGTTTTTTGTTTGAAAAACTGTCTTGCACATTGAGGGGCATTTAGAATTTTTGGCCATGGATACTAATTATCCAAGAAGACCCTTACTTTTCCATGGCCCTCAGTTGAGAGCCTCTCTTCTATATTATCCTGTAGTTTATAGAAACACAGTACTGTGTTGAAATCTTCTACTGGTTTTATATTCTTTAGGACTCAAACCTGAAGTTTTACTATAATTTTTTACTTCCTGTGTTGGATCTTTCTCAAATAATAGTGGGTTTCATTAGTTTTTACTATGTTTGCATGTTCTTACTTTACTGATTTATTGAAATGTGAGCCTTATAAATCTTTGATCATACTACTTTTTGGTAGTTTCATGAGGAAATTGAAGTGTTATCTATCGGTGAAAAGCTGATTGGAATTTTGTGATGATTTTAAGTGTTTCAGGAGCTCCAAAATTACTATAATAAATGGCATTCTGGTTTTAAAATTACTAGTGTTCTGATACACCATATAACCATTTTTAGCTGTTTAGTAGCGAAATTAATATTAAAGTTGTGCACTTGTCGATTTTTTAGAAAATTCAGACTTGTCACTATAATATTGCCGAATTTAACACACTAACTGCCACGTGAGTTGTATTGAACTCACACTGGTTTTGAGCCCAGGACCTTGTGAAGCATACATAATTCACGTCTCTTTACCTTGAGCCATGTGAACTGTTGTTCAAGTTGCATGTAACTTACACATAGAAAACAATAAATAACAAATTTTTCATTAAATTAGAAAGGATAGTTTTGTTTTCAAAGTTTTCATT